CGACGTGCAGGAATGCACGGCTTAGGAGTTAGATGGGGGAGGGTGAACTCAAACTGGACTGGCATGTGGTCTGAAAAAACATTATCACCAATAACAAGATTATTAACAGTCATATCATGAGTTAAAACCAGGTCCAGTGTATGTCCACGCTCTTGGGTGGGACCGTTTACATGCTGAGTTAAATTAAACGAGTCCAATAGATCTAAAAAGTCCTTAACCAAGGGCTTCTCAGGACAGCACACGTGCAAATTAAAGTCACCAATAATGAAAACATGCTCATATTTTGGTGTGATTTCAGCCAAGAAGTCAGAAAACTCATTTATGAAGTCCTTAAATCGAGGTGGACGGTAGACGAGTGCAAATAACGTCGCAGGTGAATGTCCGAGTTCAAAGACGCTCAGCTCAAAGCTGGCGCGGGAAACTGGGATGGGCAGTTGTTTACAGTCAAAAGTTGAATTGAATATTGTTAATAATCCACCATCGCGACGGCCTGATGGCCGCGGGGCGTTAAAACACAGACTGTTCGGTGGCAGTAATTCCGTCAAGGCGCTGGACTCACCCGGAGACATCCAAGTCTTTGTGATGCAGAAAAAGTCCAGATCGTGCTGTTGAAAGTAATCACTGAGGATAAAAGTTTTGTTGGTAACAGATCTTGCGTTGACCAAACACATCCGGATATTGTCCAAAGTAGAGCCAGCAGCGGTGGAGCCAGCAGCGGTGGAGCTAGCAGCGGTTGAGTTAGCGCGCACTAATGGCCGCAGGTTTTCAATAACATCCCCTCCAGGTCGGTCCGGGCTGTGCAATGGCTGACAACTCCTGCTGGTTACCTGGTCCGGGCACGCGGGAAGCTGGAGACCATGACCGCCAGCTGAAGAGGAAGATGCAGCGTGCAGAGCTTTCAGCTTCACCAGCTGACCAGCACGTTTTCCCCGTCTTCTGAAGCGAGGTCTCCGGGCAGGCAGGTGAGGAGCGCAGCGAAGGTAAGCTGGCATGTCCGCCAGCAGGGGGGGAGGAGGGGGGGTCCAGAGGTACGCTGATAATGGTCCAGATAAGCGACATCAGTGCCAGAAAAACGAAGATCCAAAAGTTGTTGTCTGTCATACACCAGCAGAGAGTTGATGTCATTGATGAGGAATACAAAAAACAAAAATAATCCGAACACCATGGTGGATTGCAAACCATGTACACGGGCGCCATCTTACCGGATTAATTAGTGTTAATTGGTCTTCCAGCTGTTTGTTATATGCTCAATTTCCTTTTGCCAGCCACTTATTGCTACTTGTCCCAACTTTTTTGGGATTTGTTGACACTGTGAAATTTTGAATCAACATATTTTCCTTTAAAATGTTACATTTACTCAGATTAAACTTTTGATCTGTCATCTATGTTATATTACGAATAAAATATTGACATTTGCCATCTCCACATCATTGCATTCAGTTTTTATTCACAATTTGTTTAGTGTCCCAACTTTTTTGGAATCCGGTTTGTAATTATAAACAGTATTTATGTTTGCATGCAAGATAAACTGAAGTTTTCAGCAACATACAACTCGCTGAAAATTATATAAACCAAATTTAGAACATTGATAAACATTGCAAGCTACTAAAGTTGAAAAATAAAAGCGACAGATTTATTTTATTCTATTCACCACCACGAATTGTATGTCACACAAAATTAAATTAAACCCACTACTAAATCCAGTTATATAACTCACCCGGCATCTCTCTCTCTCCAAACGTCCCTTTTGGACTGCACAACCCGACCAGAAACTCGGTTTTGGTCCACTCGACGACCAATGTGGACTTTTTAGACAAAGCGGTCCTGTTTGCCGTCAAGAAATGTCGACTTTTTCCCCACAAATCCAGACAGGATCCAGTTTTTGCCTCGTCACCTTTTACCAGCAGGGTTAGCTAAACGTTAGCTCATAGGAAGTACAGGCTATGGCAGCACGCATGCGCGTTAACTGAAGATACAAAATCATAGCGCCAACTAATGCCCCGGCATGACAACTGCAGCACTTGACCCGCTTTTGGAGGCAAAATACAGTATATGAGTAGCACATCTCTACAGTTTCTTAATGTAAACAAATCTCCAAAGATAAATGTTTTCAGTTTAAAAAATAAAACATAATAGCATCAGATGCTTTAGCTTCTAAGAAACCAGATTTTAACAATTCATAAATACATTTCAAGACATAAAAAACAACTTTGGGAAACAAAAGACACTCATTTAAATGAGGAAAAGCTCTATCATGTAGACAACAAACCAGTCTTACCAAAATCCTTATTTAAAGCTGCCGCTGTTTTTGACCCAGGGTGTTTTCCATGTGTCAACAGGAGGGAGCTATCTATAATACACATTTTCATACATACAATTTTTTTTTCTTTACAAAACTGTACAGGCAACTGAAATTTTAGACGTACATATCAATTGGCAGAAGTGTACACAGACAGCCAATACACTGCTGACCTCTACTGACAGACCAGTAACACTGCAAAAGAAAAGACAAATTTCACTGTCTCCTGATTTCCTTTTTCCACAGAAAACATCACAAATCCAGCCAGGAGATTGGGTCTTCATAAAGGTGATCCAAAGAAAGAATTGGGACCGTCCCCCGCTGGGAAGGACCGTTCCAAGTACTGCTGACGACACCTAATGCAGTAAAGATCCCTGAACGACCCAGTTGGATTTCATCTCAGTCACTGTAAGGCTCAGAGGGTGCTGGACCCTTAAGGTCACCTGGGTAGAGGGGAAGTCAGACCACAAAGAGGTTTGTCCTTATAGTGGGAAGTCATCTCAACGTCTGTGAAACAACCAACGATCCCTACCCTTTAGGACCTACAGGTCTGGTGACTCTGAGTCCTTAGCAGCGATGGGGAGTCCGCATGCAAGGTGGATTCTCTGCTGTGTTGTGACTGTAGCATGTTATCTCGACATCTCCAGAGGCCTGCACCCCCTTCATGATGACGTGGCAGACTGGCTGCAGAACCTCACTCCTGACCATGATGGTGATAGAAACCTATGGAAGGCTTATCTGCAACTCCTGAAGGGCAGTCACACCAAGGAAGGCTGTTATGCTTGTTCCACCATGCCAAAACACAACTCTGCAGAGCCTGAACTAGAAACCAGATCAACCCCGCCCACCTACTGGACCAGCACACCACCAGATCAAAGGTATACGCTGTGCTACACCCCTTTCATCAAACATAATGTACTTCACTGTCAACAGTGCGACCGGCAACATCACTATGACAACCATAACAACTCCAGGGTTTTTCCTGGGAAACACCACAGGCTGTGACGTCATCATAGACTTTCTCAGGTACACAGCCCTACAGTCCAGAAACTCTAGCGTGTCAACAGTGACTCTCGTTGATGTCATGTGGCTGTGTGGTCACTGCCTGTACCCCTTGTTGCCTCACCACTGGACCGGCATCTGTGCCCCAGTCTGGGTATCGGACGGTACAATTCTCATCCACCACAGCGACAACCAACTCTCCCTCTCATCAACCTCGCCCCAACGCTTGGACAAAATGAAGAAATCGGCACGCTGAAGCTGATAGTGCTACAAAACCGGATGGTGTTGGTTGGATTTACTAACTGCAGCTCAGGAGGGTACGTGTGCTCTCACCAGGAGTAAATGATGCATTTATATCCTGGGTGAAAATGACACCCACGTCGAGGTGCCATGGCCTCCCTAAGGAACCTTCAAGCTGCAGACTCCAGAGGGATAGGCAACTCCCTCTGGGAATGGTTCACCTCCGGACACTGGTGGTATCTCCTCCTCAAAATTCTCACTCCAACTTTTTGCAGTGTTGTTCCTATTTTTATCAATTTGTATCAAGCTAAGATGACCCAAGATGATTATGATCCACTGGGACCAGTGGACAAACTTGAATATGACGATGTGAGCCTAAACTGTGACGATGCTGTGTAAAAGATGCACTATGATTCTGGTATTGAAAATGTATAACAAAAGTACTAAGGTGAAATGCTTGCTCTTCTTTCCAGCCCTCACCAGTATAAAAAAAATACTACTAATAATAATAATAATAATAATAATATGTGTTTTTGTTTTTATTTTATGTTTTTGCGAGCTCATAAAGAGCTCAACTTTTATTTTTTTCTTTTATGAGTTCTTTTTGGTATAAAATGATAAAAAGGAGGGAGTTTTTCTCTGTTATCATTTTAAAACGCTTCTATCTCATATTAATATCTGTTTTGTATGTACAGAACAAAAGGGTTATTTTGGTTCAGCTTTATATCATTGCTGTGTGTAAGTTCTGGAAAGTTCTACTTTTACATCAAGTGGACGTTTTATCAAGAAACTATCTGTACAAGCTAAATCTTCTGAAATGTTCTGACCGTCATCCTGATAAGATCTTTGTTCATGTAAACTTGACCTGTTTTCATGCCCCACTTGAATCTAATAAATACCAGACTCACCCTGGCAAAACAGATGACTCCCGCTTTGCAAAGGTATTGAACGCTAATAACTAATCTCGCCGTGTTGTGTGAAGTTATTATCTTTAAAGGTCGAACTGAAAATACATAACATAGACCTTTGATGCAAAGCTATTTGTTATTCAGTTAACTTTTGTTATGCATAATCTTCATCATAGCACAGATTATTTTTATAATAAAATACATAAAAATCAACTGAATTTGTGATTATTTTTGGCATATCTGTGTATATAAATTGATTAGATATTCTTTAAACATGAGAAAATAACTCACGTTCAGATTACATTAATTTGGGGTAAATAGAGACTGATTTTCCTCTCCAAGAGAGTGGTTGTGTCCAAACAACGAGGTTATTTGCATAATACATGCATATCTTATGAGCTTAACTCATAACTGATAATTAACAGTATATATACAGCCCCATATCGCTACAACACATATGTGTATGTGTGTGTTTTACTCTATGTATGTTTACTATATGTGAAAAGTTAAAACGGTGTTTCCCTTAGAATTGTGCACTTTGAGTCCCCTACCTGGAACTTGCCCTCCTCCTTTGGTCTGAGGGACTCCCACTCTGGAGAATCGAGGAACTGGTGTCGGTGGATGTAATGCAGAAACTGACCCTCCAAAGATACACTGATCCTGAGAGAGAGATACAGGATGGGATCATGAGAACAAAGGCAGGTTGAGGTCACTTTGAAGACCCAGGGAGTGAGACACTGGGTCTGGCATTTATGTAGTTAACCACTGTTTTTGTCTGTCCAAACAGGTCTCACTTGTAAATGAGTCTCCGAGGCTCAGTGTGATTTATCTGTTTAAATAAAGGTTGAATTAAAAAAAATGCTAATAAGTGTTTCTAATCCAGATGAATATCAAGCTAAAAGCTCTTTTGCCTTTTTTTGCTAAACTTTTCTTTAGAACTATGAATCTAAAATGCCTTCAATGTAACATGACACTCTGGTGTTCACAAAAAGAACAAAATTATTCACTACAAGAAGGGGATATTATATGATAATAAATATGATTTAAATCTGATTTCAAATAAATATTTGGTTCTTGTCTGACAGGACTTTTCTTCTAGGATGCTTTCTGCAAAAGCATTTGACTTACATTAGAAAAAATGCTCGTTTTCTTCAGTCTTGGTGTCTGTTTCATTTTAAAAAATGAAAATCAACTTTTATTTTAAGAAAAAAATGTATGGTATAAAGTTTATTCATTTTAAAAAAGTACAAAACAATTCCATAATATTAAAAAGATACAAAAGATTTAAAATGAAACGCAGCAGAAAGAAGAAAAAATCTTATTATATCTGCCCCTTTTTTCAAACAATTATTTCAGACATAATAATCTTCAAGTAACAGAACAAAATGAATAACTCTTTCTAATTTTTCTAATTCTAATACAAAACACACACTAAGCTGCTTCATATATATTTTTTTAACAATTCAGTTTTGATCTTTTTCTTAAATGTACACATTGACTTGTCATTTTTCACATCACTCTCTAGAACATTCCACAATCCAACTCCTTGGATTGAGGTAGACCTTCCCTTCAGACTAGTTCTGAATTTTGGTTTGACAAATATCTCTATCCCCTTAAGATTATAACAACTTTACCTTTTAACAAAATTTCTTTGGATATTTAATGGTAATGTGTTATTTTGAACCCTATACATAACTGATAAAATACTATAATCTACCAAATCATGGAACTTCAATAAGTTCAGTTGATAAAATAATGTACTTGATGGGTGACAGTAATGCTTTCTGGTGATAATTCTTACAGCTCTTTTCTGTAAAATAAAAATAGGTTTTGTAAATGTTTTACACACTTTCCCCCAAACATCAATGCAATAGATTAAATGTGGAACAATGATTGTGTTATACAACATGTACAGAGCTGTATCATTTAATAATTCCGACTTTGTATAGTACTGCAATAGATTTAGATATTTTTGTTCTTACAGAATTTATGTGGTTTTTCCATGTGAGCTGTTCATCAATGATTACACCCAAAAATTTCATCTCATTAACTCTACAAATCTCAACACCCTCAATTTTAAATGGATCATCAACAGTTCTCTTTTTGTTACTAAATATCATGTATTTAGTTTTGTCTAAATTTAATGATAATTTATTAAGTTTAAACCAAGTTTGTATTTGATCAAATTCTGTCTTCATCAATTCTTCATCATCCGTTTCACATCTTTACCCAAACAAAAAAATGTGGTGTCATCTGCAAAAAGGACACATTTGAGGAGTCCTGATACATTCACTAAGTCATTCACATATAAACTAAATAACTTTGGTCCAAGTACAGAGCCTTGAGGAACTCCACAAGTGATATTGCACAGGTCAGATCTTACACCATTTATTTGTACAAACTGTTTCCTATCTTTCAAATAGCTAGATACCCAGTGTAATGCTGGTCCTCTTATACCATATTGATTTAATTTTTCAAGGAGAATAGTGTGGTCAATAGTATCGAATGCTTTTTTAAATCAACAAATGTGTGTTTAAATGAAAAAAATGTGTGTGACCTGTGCTGGAAAAATGAGTGACAATTAGAACATTTTCAATATTGAGTTATTACTTTTTGAATTCTTCATCTCAAAAGCTTCAAAGTGATAAATAAAATGTTGAAGTAAGTCAGTTTATCACCTAACATGACAACAAGCTAGTTAAACCATCTGTGAGAGGGGGGTGAAGGAAGCAATTTATGTAAAAAGAGAAAAGCCATCTCTTAACAGAGGAGGAGGCCTCAGATTTCCACTTTCAAAAACCTATAATGCAACTTTAAAACAGATTCCCAGTCGGTTTTCACACTTGATGGGAACAGAGGGGCCTCGACTGTGAATTAGAGGAACAAAGACCTACTGTTTAGGTTTTTAGGTGTGAACTGCCAATCTACATATATGTGTGTGTGTGTGTGTGTGTGTCTTATGTGTGTGTGTGTGTGTGTGTGTCTTATGTGTGTGTGTGTCTTATCTCACTCAGCCTTATAACCTGTATCTCTCACTCTCTGCTCTTTGAATTGAGAAAGCTCCTCGGATGAGGAGCGAAACGTCTTCTGTTACAAATAAAGTCCAGTTGTTTTTGTATTGAACGCTTTTTGAATTCATCATGTCCTGGATGACTGAGAATCTTCACCAGCACACCAATGCAAGGAAAAAACAGTAATTATCAAACTAAATTCTAAATAAATTACTAGCTAAAAGCTAACAGTAAAATAATAATTAGAGGAGAGAACCAATTTGGAATAAAGATAATGAAATGCTATCATAAAAATAAAATGGTTGAAACCATGAAAAGCAAGTGAAAGGAGCAGCTGAGGCTGAGTGGTTCAATTATCCTCCAATGCCAGAGTTGGGGGTTTGCTTCCACCATCAGTCACATGCTGAAGTGTCCCAGAGCAAGACATTTAACCCCTTATTGCCTCCAATGTGCGTCCCATCAGTGTATGAATGTGATAGAGGTCCGCAATCCGCAACAACAAAATGAAAGAGGGTGAAGCAGAACAGCTCAGAATCAAAGTTTCATCCTGCCTCAGCAATGCCAAACCACCACCTTCCAACATCAGTAGCTAGGAGAGGGATGCACTCACCACTCTTAGCAAGGACAAAAACATCATCATTCTCCCAGCAGACAAAGGAAGGTGCACAGTGATTTTGAACCAGAAAGACTATCATGAGAAGGTTATGACACTCCTTAGTGACTTAAACACTTATGAACCTCTGAAAAGAGATCCAGGAAGTGGTTACAAGAAGAAGTTAATAGATTGCCTGAAAATTTTGGAGCAGGACAAGGCTATTGACCGTTTTCTGTACCACAGACTGTACCCAGGGGAGGCCACACCTAGTCTGTATGGTTTACCTAAAATCCACAAACAAGGTGTACCTTTAAGACCAATCGTTAGCATGATTAACTCTGTCACTTACAATGTTTCCAAATATCTGCCGTCTGTACTCATCCCTTTAGTTGGCAGCTCAGAACACCACATACAGAACACCATGGACTTTGTGGACAAGGTGAGGGATGTCATCATGGAGACTGATGAAACAATGGTCTCTTTTGATTAGGGCTGCAACAACGAATCAATAAAATCGATAAAAATCGATGATTAAAAGCGTTGGCAACGAATTTCGTTATCGATTCGTTGTGTCGTGCGATTATGCATCTTTCACGGCGCTGCAAAGTCGTTTCGTTTTGTTCACGGGCAGTTCATTGTCAATGCTGACTGACTGAATAAAGTTTGAAAAAAAAAAAACTGCAACGCGAATTGAACAGAGCGAGGTGCAAGCAGAGCAGAGGCGTGTTTTGAAAGGAAATTAAGTAAATTTTACAAATGACCGACGCAGAGAAAACTGTTCGACCCAAGTCCTCCAAAGTGTGGGAGAACTTCACAAAGATAAAAAAATGAGAAACATGCAGCTTTGAAAATCGCCGACACGACACGGGAGAACCACGGAGATAAACATAAACATGTCGGAGTCACGAGGTGGAGGAAGGAGCTGCAGCTGATACAACATGTCTCACTCCCAACTCGTGTTGCAGGTGAGTCTCTACAATTTAACACATTGTTCTGTTTCAAGAGAGAAAACGTAACGTCAGTCTGTCTGGTAGATGAAGCTGCTGTTTGTTTGTTTGTTTGTTATCTGATTAATGACGGTGATAGAGAACGTGTGTTACTTTTTATTTAATTTAATTGGAACAAGCAGTGTTTAAATGTGATTTATAAATAAATCTAACACAAAGATAATAATTTAATGATTAAGCTTCAACTTTTAATTTGCTGGCAAAGTCTGAAGACACTGCAGGTATGGCAGGATGAATTGCATTTAATCAGGAATTAAAATAATTTATTATGTAGTGATGTAGGGTTAGGTTAGCTTCAGTTAGCTTAGGAGCTCCACTACAATCAATATTTAATAACGTGTTCTCTCTTTTTCGAGCTACTTGACAGATATGTGACAGAGGTACTGTGTTGGAGATGGTCTAATCAGTGACGTGAGACGTTAATTTTCTTTGACCCATCAAAATGAATGTGGTCATTTATTAACAGAATCAAAATTTAACATCAAAACATTGTACACTTGATTATTCTGATCGGCTCTGATTAATAAAACTTGGCACGTTTTACTTAATAGAAACAACAGACATTTCCTTAGATCTTAAATTAATGTCTGCAGACTTTTTAGCTGATCTTTACTGGCAGAGAAATATAGAGATGGAGTAAAGTTTTTGAAGGAAAAGTGGATACTTAGGGTTAACTAAGATAATAAAGAAAAGATGGGGAGTTATCTTGTTTGAAACCAGATAGCATGTTTCCCGCTGATTTCAGCTAGATGGTACCCGAGCGTCGACTCTTTACCTTGGTGGGGTTTCAGAGAGGCCTTCTCCTGGCGTCCAGCAAGGCTGAGTCTTTTTTTCCTCCAGGGATTTGTATCCGCTTCTCATCAACTTGGGACCACGAGGCTGACTGGCCCAGCTTCCAAAATAAACTCCCCGAAGGATAGGGTTAAGTTAAGTGGAATTTCAGCAAATGTGCTGAACTCCTGAGATGTTGAATAGGTCTTTGGCGTGATGACCTGAATCAACCCTCCAGACAGGTGTCATCTTTCAGAAAAAGACCACCGTGGACTT